AGAGACAACTGACTCTTTATTCATCATGAAGATTATTGGCAAGAAGACAGTTCTACTTTACTGCTGTCAACAATATTGCAGTACTCTACTAATGCCCATAAAGATATGGCTCCAGGAAACTACAAGTTGTTTATCTTCTGCATACAAGAAAGAGCCTGACAAGCAATGGAAAAAGAATTCAAACTGGAAATGCCAGTTTAATCATGCATTTTGAGATCCTGATTTTACATCAGGGGTTTTTTTTGAGGTGAGTGGAAGCACCTGGTAAATGACATTGCTTATATACCACAGAACAGCTCTTCCCACAATAAGTCTGCACCAGACTATGACAAATAAATCTTGCCAGATGATTACTTAACATATCCTTAATGAAATTAATGTAGAAGTGATGAAGTCAAGGACATTTTCTGTCAGTAAACCACGTCTAATCTAGAAGTGGACTTTGTATTTTGAGGGCTGGCTATAGCAAAAAAAAATTTCTGCTGAAACAATACCAACACCAAGACAACACACACAATTCCCCATGAGAAATTAACTTCCTTTTTTACAGACAGTCTCCAGGATACACATTTAATATTTCTTGGCCTTCTGAGCTTTTTCTGCACTACATTTACAGTAATTACTTTTCTGATAGCAAATATCTTTGCAGAACAAAAGCACCTGCATTTGACAACTATGTTGCTCCAAAACACCAACCCACCTGGTTTTTTTTGAGTCTTTATGTGCAGAACAGCAGTGCTTACCAAAAGTTTTCTGTTATTGCTCTTTATAACTAGTTTTGAGACTCTGAAAACAACAGAAGAGTGACTTACAGTTTAGAAAGACAAGGAATATTAGCAGCTGTTCATTTAAGAGAGTTATGACTCCTGTGCAATATGCAGAACTGCTACAGATATAAAGACGTGATCATTTAACAAAACATTCACCATTCACACTGGACAGCAATTAGAAGATGCTGCACGTTATCCCAGGGGATTGTATTGTTCTATCTTAACAGGGAGCCATCCAGGAGCAGCAAGCTAGCTGGTGAACAACAGAACAGTTTTGGTAAGCTGTCTGGGAGCACTAGGAGTATCCATGAAATTGATATCCTATTTCCAACTTTAGGCTTCGTACAGACATTAATTTTTTTCCAGTGTCGGAAGGTAACCAATTAGAGCTAAAAGATGACCACAGAACACAACAGTCTCTGGAAGAATGGATGAGTCAGGAAGGCAAAGTCACTTTTACACCAGTAAAACCGGAAAGAGGAAATAGCTGAAGATAAAGGACCACGTTAGACAGGCTCTTTGGTGGGTTTTGCAGGTTGCCAGACCCATGGGACTTCTGCCTGGAACACTGTGAGGTGTGCATACAGGCTTTAAAAAGGGAAATTTTTTCTAAATAAACAATGCATTATTTTAAGAAGATCTCCTGGAAGGCAAGAGGAGTGCTCACTAATATTGTTTCTTCCCTGAGACAAGCTGGCAGAGGTAATCACTGCCAGACTCAGGGAGAACACTGACCAAAAGGCTGGCCTTTGAGCTGGAAAAAAAATTGAAGGAATCCATCTTATGGAAGGCTTATGATTAGCAATATTGACCTGGAGGAGAGACACCTCATGCTACCTTCTCACCCAAATGGGCTGAAGACAGGGCTTTGAAATACGTACCAAAACCAACTGTTGGTACTGCATTCATTAACTGCTTTTAAAAGCACACTATCATTGACAGGATGTAAAAACATTACGTTTTATCCTGGGCAGTCTCCATCCATGGGTGTCAGCAATTCTTCAGATGATACCTTCCATGTAAAGGTTGCTATTATTTCTATCTTTTATAGTCACAGCAAGGCAGTGTATTTCTTTCAGTTCAGTCCAGCTTGCAATATGTCCAATGCAGCTAGTTCTCATTCTTCCTTTATGCAGTCTTCCTTTGTCACTGCTTGACAGCACATTCAAGTGTTCAAATTCAGTCACTCACTGACTGTAATGTAATGGATTTGTTACTATATATGCCACCTTTCAAGAAGTGATCTCGCCAAGTTCATTTTGTGCCTTTTGGATAATCAGCTCTCCATCAGCTCAATCCAAAACACTGCATCTCTCTGTATTCAGTGCCTAGGTTTTGCATCCCTCCTCCCTATGCACCACATCAACCTCTGAAATGTGAAGTAAATGTTTAAGTTTAAACACATGAACAAGGGACACTTTCAGATGTATCTGGGCCAGTATTATGAGGTCCATGCCAAAGGATGTTGTGTGTTAGCTGAGCAGTGCAGTATATTTTTTCCAACTGCTTCAGCCACTAGCCAACCATGTCAACTATCCTGAACAAATTCTTCTGTAAAAGCCGTAATGAAAGAATTTAATACAAACCCAAAAAGAATCTGATATAAAAACAAACATCTTAACTGCATACAGACACCAATGAAACAGTATGAAATGGCTGTCGTTTGAGCCAGCTAGCCCTTAATTTTTTACATAGTATGCTTTCTTTTATTTAGGATATACATCTAGGTAATGTTTCTGGGGTTTTTGCCATCTACAGAGCCCTAAGGTCCCTTAATGCAGCTTTCATCATCCTTTCTTGATACGTGCCATCAAACTCTGTTTCCAAAAAGAGTTGTCATTAGGAAGGGAGCCTCCAGGCACCACATTACACAGTAGTCTGGTTCATATAAATGTGAATTGGGAAAAATAATCAACCACTTTTAAATACAGCTTTTAAATCATGCAGTTGAACCTGCCTACACTGTTTACATGAAACATCTTGTAGTCATTCCATACAGTAGTAAAATTTACTAGCCTTTTTCTACAAGGCAGTAACAACTGGAGATACACAATAGCATCAGGTCTTTCTCCCTTCAAAGAGATTTTACAAAGCAGTAAAGCCCTTCTAGCATTAACTGTACTAGAAAGCCTGAAATGGTTTCAAATTTGGTACCAACTATAGATGTAGTCTGTTACTCTTCTTGCTTTTCCCTTGCTCATTGGATTCCCCTTCTTTTTTTCAGAAACACTTTTTTCTTTTTTCTTTTTTTAGTATTTTTTTCTGCCTTGCAAATCTATATTCTTTCTCTGTTTCCTCACTCATGAGTTATTTGTTGGCTGATTTAGATAAAGACCCATACAGAGAGATGGTAGTCACAGCAGCAGAGGCAAGAAGCCAACCCCTATTCCTGCACCCATGTGAATGAGTCTCACTGTCAACTGTGTCACACACCACTGTGCACGAAAGGAGCAAAGAGGGGCTCTTCCAAGGGCACACACTTTAGCTAGTCTGTGTTTAGGAGTAACCATGGACCTGTGGCTTCACTACCAATATTAATTGTTTTATTAATTGTTTCTATCAAAACCAGCCTATTCTGTTATTTCTTGGCAAGGTCTCTCTGCACATGAGGATTGCCACTGATAGAAGTATAAGAGATAGTATTCTTTTCAGTTTTGGGGAAATCAGATTACCAGACAGCACAAAGGCAACCAACCCAGTAATCCTCCAAGTACTTTGCATACCATGTTTTCTATGTTTTGTCCTCCCCTGAAACATAAATTATCATAAGTGCTGGAGGAAAGATGTAGGATTTGATGGACCAGTTGGTCAACTAGACATGGTAAATACTCTTTTCCTGACATATATCACCTCTTCTTCCTCAGTCACCTCTGCCTTATGAATCTTGAAGTGTCTACAGTCCTCGATGAACATCTAACCCTTGACTGCACAATGTGACCTTGGACTGTAAGAGGGTTTTTTTAGTATCTTTCCTACTTTCAAATGCTAAAATACAATTTAGCACCCACTGGGCTATTTCCTGCTTCAGTTACACCTATGCTCACACCCTGAAAAGAGATGTTGGCATCATTTTAAGAGCTTTTCCATTTCTAATTTTCACTTCATTCTCAAAGATGTGCACTGACAGTCTTAGCTCCTCACGTACACAAAGTAACTAACCTCAAAAACAAAGGCAGCAAAGCTATTTTAAATAGCAACATACAGCTCACAATAGAAAACATTATACGCTGATATAGCACCATAGTTCTAAAAGTTCCTAAAGTATTCAAGCTCATATTTAGGCAGCCTTGATCTTACTTGTGACCTTCCTTTGCTCTGGTTCAGAAAATATCCCACTCAGCTACTGGACTACGCTTGTGGAGGCTGTTCCCTCTCTCCATTGAGAATGCAGGCTGTCTAATGACAGTATTCATGGGTTTAAAATGTAATTTAAATACAGGCAATTCTGAATGGAAGTTGGTCTTCCAGCAATGCAAGGGGATTTTCTGCAGTTTGGCTAAGAAACTTAGCTAGTATGCAATCACCAGAAAATATTACAGAAGCTTTAATTTTTGTACAGAACAGACAAATTCGTTGTTTTGAAAGGTCATGACAGAAAATTGCATGGAATTCAATTTACCTCCCTCAGATGGATGAAGGTCTGAGTCAAACACAGAACAGTGGAAGCCTTTGGCTCCGAGAAGTCTGTGCTGATTCAGACCTGCTCTTAGGCAGGCAAACCATCCTTTCAGCTCTACATTATTACAGCTTGTGATTTTCAACTCATCTTTTTCTTCAGCTGTGCTATTGAAGTAAATTGTGCCACAGATGAGCATCAGAGCAATGGTCAATACAAGAAAAATTTGTTTGTTTTTAACCAGGAAGTTACCAAATATAGTTATTTGTGAAACAGAGATCATCATAGTTGTCTCACATTCATTTCTCCACGTGTAAAGTGAAATATAAAAACTACAGGAAGATGCATGGGAGACAATATCGTCAGTACAATACAGAAAGACAAATATCAGAACAGCAAACAAGCACAAGGATTAGTTTCAAAAACAGAAAGACCATGAAGACAAAATCAAAAGAATACCCTGAGCATGTTTTAGCTTCACAGTACACCCAGGAAGAGAGTGTGCACCTGCAGCACACTTGACTTAATAGGCTCCTTGTGCATAACTGAGAACAACAGAGCTAGTGAGCAGATCATTCCTGACTGGATGTATCTTATGAGGCAGTAACTCTTACCTAAAGCTTTCTGGGTATTCAGCAACAGCCATGTTGATAACATCCAGTGCATGCTGATAGTGCTTCTGAGCTGAAAAGAGGAGGGCCAGTAGATGAAGTGAATTCATGTCATCTTTGCAGAGTTGCAGGGCTTCTTGAAGATGGTCTATAGCATCTGAAATCTAGAAGGAGATGGCACAGAAATAAAAAGAGAACTCAGTACTCCTTCAGTCTTACATTATACCTCAAAGATAAGAACAAATACAATAATTAGAAATTATGAAGAAATTCTACTTAGGTACCTTCTATTATTCAAACAGTTTGCCAAAATTAACAGACTGCACTGCTTGAAGAAAAACAAACATTCTAGAGAAAGGAGTCTGCAGCATTACTAAATCACTGCTTATAAACAAGAGCAGCAGACCTGATCCAATCAACCCCTCTTACTCTGGCTTGGTGATTCTATGCTGTAAACAGATGCACTACAGAGGCCCAATTCTCAGCTCCATTTTCTAGGATGGGTGGCTGGCTCTTCACTTAGGGGAGAGTATTACACATCTCTGCTGTATTTTGTCTCTTGTAATAGCTGTACAAAGTCTTTCATGATTTGGATCAAGAGCATACAAATTGAGTTTGAATGTTCAAGGGTAAAAGAGTTGAGATTTAAAATGTTGTCAGAAGAAGAAATATCTTTGCAAGCAGTGATGTAAAGAGCAGTCCTGACACTCACAGCAGCAGCATGTCATTAGAACCAAGTCTCCTTTGGCAGAAAACATCTATAATGAATGCAAGTATATCACATGCTCTTTGTGATCCAGTACACTACTTTAGGCTATCTATTCAAAAAGAAACTTCTTAGCAGATTCTCTTCTGTTTGTTTACCACTAAGTTTTATGCAGAGGATTTTCTTTAAGATTCTCTAGTGTCTGAATTACCATTACATAAATTATTCCTGATCTGTGTTTGGCTCTGGAAATCTGCAGAAAACAAAAGATGAAAGTGTATAAATTTCTTTTCCTCATGCATGCTTTCCCACTGCTTCTCTTAATGGATGGAGAATGTAGTTCCTTGTTCCCTACTATGAGAACTTCCCACCTAGCAAAGTTTTGCAGACATTCTTCTACCCTGGCTTATCACCAGTGTCAAATTCCCACCGCCTCCAGAGATCTCTCACAAAAACAAGTATCACACTACTAAGGATAGCAACAATTACACTGCCTGCAGCTACAACAGAAGTTGCTGATTATCCAGATCCCAGGTATGCTCCTAGGAGCATGGCATATGTATTCTATTCATGGGACAACTTCATCCTGATGTCCAAGTGACATTTCACTCTTGCTGTGCATACACGAGCCATAGTACTTAACTACTCTATTACTGGTGACTCCATGCAAGCCTGGAGATCAGTGTGACTGCTCCAGACATAACCCCAAACTGGCATCTGGCCCACAATGTCAAAACTGCTGAATGTCCTGGCTTGGATTCAGGTTGGGATACATGACTAAGTGCTCAGCTTTAATGAATTACTGCTTGTCAGTGGAGCTACTTTAACCACATGTTATTATAGCTTACTGCAAAGGTAAAGGCATTAGCTTACATCACTAATGTCCCCCCAGTAGCTCACTGGAATACATTTTTATACAGTGTAAAAATACTAGCAATGACAAGACAACTTGTAACCAGAACAACAAGCATGAGACTATTGTGGGCCCAGATCTGCTGTCCACGAAGGTTCTTCAGTAGATATACCAGAGATACATAAATTGACTTGCTAAAACAAAGCTGCTATCAAGACTCTTTTTGCACTCAGGACTAGAAAACACCTCCTATTTTTTTCTATTCTTCTGTCTCAGGTCTGCACAAGTAGTCATAAAGAAAATATAAGTTTGGGGAAAAGTAAGTTCATTAGAAGAAAACGTGTAAACCAGACAACTGGAGGGGACTTTGAGCAGCCTGTTCCAGCTGACCCTGTTTCAGGCAGCAATTGAACTGGATGATCTCTAGAGGTCCTCTCCAAACTCAACTATTCTATGATTCCAAGACTTGGGAAGGTGATCGTAACTTGCTAGTATGAATCACACAAATACTTGCAGTTAGTGTCTTTAGTGAAGGGCTTCAAAACTGTAAGGGTGCTTGACCTTACCTGCATGTGAACGTGCAAACTGAGTCACAGACTTTGCTCTATGTGTTGCAAGGGACTTAGTCACACAACTGCAAGTCCATGCCCTTAACAGAGGCCTGCCATCAAAGAAGCTCCCTGACTGTGTTGCAACATACGTGAAATAAAGCTGCACAAAAGTCAGTTGTGGTCTCTCCTACAAACCTGTACCTGCTGGGTAGGTAGTCATATACTGATGAAATAGACATAATCTAAAATAATTTCCTCCTGTTCTGTGGCATAGGGCCTGCAATAGTTACACCTCATTTCAGTGTTTCCCTCTAGTACCATCGGAGTCATAGGCAACGGCTGGTTTTGAAATCTAATTATGCTTCCCTGCCACCTAATTGTTTAACTTGAGTCCAAAAAGATTCCTTAGTGCTGTAAGACCATTAGTAGCCTACAAAGTTCTGCTGCATAATTAGAAATGCTGGACAAAACACAGATAAGAAAAAAAACCACACTTTTAATTCTATGATCTCTATGCCTTTATATGAAGCATTATATGAAACAACCTGCAACAGACCAGAAGCAATGAAATACAAACTAAATTTCTAGATGAACAAAAGCACGATATTTGGCAGCAGTCAAAGAGAACTTCTTTTGAAAGAGGTATTTTTATTTAAGTAACTATATAATACAAGAAAGCTGGAAGCTGGTAGCCCAGATGGCACCATGAAACTTCAGGGCTTTATCAGAGATAGGCTGCCAGTTTAAAATTCCCTACAAGTGCTGAGCTTTAAAGTAATCTTACGTCAGCTGGACTCCAAGTGGGGCTTGCAATTAGAAGATGTTACACTTCCCTGATGTATCTTTCTGTTAACAAATCTACCACACATTTTGCAAGGCACACAGGTGAAGTCACACCACATTGATCAGGAAGCAAAGATGCTGCAGTAGGCCATAAATAGCATCTTGCAGCACTACCAAAAATAATGCCACAACATGGATTGTTTAGGCTGCCTCTCAGAGAATAGGATTTATTTTAATAATGATACATGTTTTCTTAAAAATAATGTCGGGATGTTACAATTACAGGTATAAAAAGGAAAACAGTATGAGTGTTAAAAATAATTCCCAATAGTATAATGTGCTTGCATACTTAAAATGGTAAATGAAACAGGAACTTGTAAAGAGGAGTTTTCAGGCCTAGTAATTTCACATCAGTTGACAGTTACACTTAATTAACCATTAAAACAACCCACTCCATCTCTATTTATAGCATGAGGATTACAGAAAGGAGACAGCTTTATCGACTGGCAAGAGCTTCCATTGAAAACAGTCTTGCTACAGTCCACCAGAACTTCAGGAAAACAGGAGTAGACATATCTGCACATTATTAATTAATTCTTACTACAAGCCATTTTTGATCACCAGAAAAGCCTAGGCTAGGCTGCAGGCAGAAAAGCAGCATGCTGCTGTTCAGCAAAGAGGCACTAGCTGGTCTAGGAGAAAGACAGAGAGCAGAACTACCCACATCCAAGCAGTCACTGAAAGAAGCATCTCTTGATATCCACTAAAACAGAGCTCCCCTCCTGGGGAAAAAGCAGCAGTCTCTCCTTCTTGAAATCAAAATAAAAACTGTAGAAATAACTGAAATATTTTCTCTGGTCTCTTAACTTATGTTTATCTTAGTTTTAGATCCAGACACACTGAAAAGAAGTAGGTGTTTTCCACATGAAATTGGTGAGACTTCCAATTCTCAGCTGCTGACCCCTTCCTGTCTTTCCTTATTTTCATGCAAAGAAAGGGCAAACAAGAAAAAGTATTAAAATGGTATGAAGCCTACATATGCTGTTTTTATGTATTCAATACTGATTTACATGGTATTCAAGGTCAAAAACACCACCACCCCCAAAACGAAAAGGGAATCAACACTTAAAATTAACAAGAACGCTGATGACTCTCTGGAGTCATTTCCATAGAAACTGGCCTGCTAAAAACCAAGACAAGACATTAAAATCAGTGAGCTTTAAAATGTTCATTCTACCTCATTTTTGCTGATCTAAATGCTGTTACCACAGAAACAGGAGAAGTAGCCGAACCAGCCGCCGGGAGTTGGGAGTTACAAGTCTCATTTGTCGATCGGCTCGGCCAGCTGCCAGCCAGGCACTGCAGGTGGAGATATCCACTGCAGCAGACACTGACCTTGGCCTCACGGCACTTCAACTCTGGGGGAAAATCAGACTGAGACCTCCCTTAAAGAAAAGGATATTTACTTTGCATTTTACTGAAAAATCCACCCTAAAACACTGCGTGGCTGACCTAGACCCTCCAGGAGTCACTGGAGTCTTCCCAGTGACTCCAATGGTCTTTAAAACACACACACACACACACACACATAAGGACAAAGCACATCATCATCATCTTTCATTCTGGTTGCTGGTGGTTTCAACTGCTAACTCTGCAGAAACCTTTTATAAGCATTCCTCCTCTTGTCGCATCCTCATCGTATGTCAGAGGGAAGCTTATGTTTTTCCATTTCCCCTTTCCCTTGCCCAGTGGTGACAGAGACAAGTACTATTGGAAATATTTTACAGCCTTCCAAGGAAGATGAATTGCTTGAGCTTTGCTTGGCACTCTGCTGGTCAGCTGCCTCCCTTGCTTTGTTCCATGAAAACACTCTCTTATCTATGCAAGCTGATACCTAGATTTTTTGGTGCTGGGTAAGGTTACCTCCTTTATTGATTCTAACTACAGAAACAAAAAGGTCTATTCGTTGAGAAAAACATTCAGCTATTATACTATAACCTACTATGTAGAAGTGGCCTGATTTGTTGGTACTGTAGCACTGCTTGATGAAAGCCCTGTGATGTTCAATAGTTAATGCAATCTATCAAAAAAGGTATCATTTATCTTTCAGTTAATCAGAAAGAGAATATATTAGATACTTTAAATAATTAAGGATATTAAAAATGCATTACCAAATGTTTATCATTAAGTAAACTGGCAAAAGAAGAGCAGGATATTTTACAGCAGTCTAAAAATAAGGATGTCTCAGGTATCTCCTCTCTCTCCAAGCATGTGTTAAAGATTTATAGCTCACTTGATGGGAGAAGAGCAGGAGCAGTATTGCAGGGGTCAGGCTGACACTACATAATACACTTAGATCATACAGCTATGGTAACAGAGGCAACTGGCAGAACATCAAGGATGAAAATACACAGGTGAAGCAGACAAAAGAGAAAAGTGAACATGAGGACAAGAGACTTAATGGTAAGAACAGAAGGAAGGGAAATGAAGAAATTAGACAGATGAAACAACATTGCGAAGACAGGCTACAACCAGAGAAAAACAACAGGTAACAACTTAAAAGGCAGTGGACAAGTAACAGTGAAAACAATAAAGAACCAAGGACCACAAAAATCTTGATTTTATTTTTCAGGATAGCAGTTGAAAATCTGTAATGCTTTTATTCATGGCAAAAAGCAGAAGAATCAGCAGATCAGACATCAGATCTCCCCTAAGAGGCAAAAGCTGCAGGAGAAAAAGGGTAGCTGGATATTTTTTAATGAAAGACCCTAAGCAAACTGCATCATAAAGCACTTAGTAGGCAGATGAGAAAGTTAAATAAGCCACTTTAATTATCGTTTCTTACTGCATGCTTTCTCACAACACACTGCTCTCATTATGAAAGGGTTACAAAAGTGACATTATCAAGAGAGTGCTCTCTTGGAACAATTAGTTTAACCTAATGAACACACAGCTCCCCTAATTAGCTCAGGAAAGTAAGGATCCAACTGTTCAACTCTGCAGTATAGACTAAGGAGAGAAAACTGCAGCAAGCAGAAAGCCTGCCAAAGAAGGAAACTACGGTGAAGAAATTTCAAATCTACCTAGAGAGGCGTTTAAAAAATAGAGGCTGCTCCAATAAAGACTTTGGCTTTTAAACAAAAGGGACAGAGAAATAAAACACATCCCAATTTTAAGAAGGGGCAGAAAAAAAAAGCACAGCCCAAATGGTTGTGTTTTTTTCCTGAAAGGCAGTGTAAAGTATTTTCTTATCAGCTTAATTTTTATGAGTTAACACCTGCAGCAGCATTCAAATGCCAACTAATCCCACTCACTGCAGAGCTCCAACGCTTGTCAAAGCCTAACGTCAAACGTGCCCAAGTATGGAATAAAGCAATCCCAGTGCAGGGAGTGTGCGATCTGGCATGATACAGAATCGGGCAGTAACGAGAGAGCCTTTGGAGCGGCCTGCAACAGGACACAGCATGATACCCAGGGAACAGGAATAAACACACCCCACTCAATCCACACAGACAAAGTTGCTCCAAGACTGCTCAGGAGTTAGAGCTGAACACATGTCCTAGGAAAGGTCATTCCATGTGCTATAGAATTACTACTTTAAAGATATGAATTAAAAAATATTTTGCAGAAGCATATTCAGATTGCTTGATTGATTATAAAGTAGGAAGGAATGGCCCCTGTTTAGCAAGCCTGGGTCTTGTTCAACTGTCCTTCCAATGTACTCTCCTTCCACCCTCTCACAACTAAGTGATTTCCAATTATTGCACATACCTGTCTGACAAGAGCCAGCTGCAGTGATAGGTAGAGGATGATTTGGTGATCTTCTGGGGCCAAGTCCCGTGCTCTTTAAGGATGACCACACAACACAAAAAGAAAAGTGACTGTTAGATTGCAATTTGCAGAATTTCTTCACCATGAGCTACACACAAGGACAAAACAAAGGCTTCCCCCACAGAAACTAGTCCAGTAACAGAGGAGCACACTGAAACTAGACAAAAAGCAGAACAGTGTTGTCCTGGCTAAGCCAGAGTTCCAGGAACAAGTATGTTCCTGTGAACATACTTCAATTGCCAGGATCTTATACAACTTATACGCTCCTTGATTACTGCTACTTAATATTTTGAAACTTGGATAACTACTATGGAAAAAAGTAGCTCTGAGCTCATAACAAACACATCAGAGCATTATTTTAAGTAATATAGGTGATGCACATAGTTGTTCAACTTGTTCCTACACTGCCACTTTTCAACAATACAAGAGGGTTAGATTAGCATGGGAGAAGTAGTCACTATTGTGACTATGAGCACGTAGAGGAACTACAGAATAGAGGACTAAACATCAGGAGCCTGTAACAGAAGCTGGTGCTCAAATACACAAAACATTCTGCACCCTGCAGCTTCTAGTTTAATCCTTGACAGTGGACTCCTAATTTGGAAAAGGAAGACACTGAGGGAGGAATGATTTGATGACAGGAGCTGTGCCTGGACCAAAACCAAGGCCCTTATTTCTCAAGCTTGGATCCTGAGGTATTATTATCTTCTAGTCCACAACAGGCAGCGTGCACTGCAGTGATCCCTTGGCTAGTGAAGGCTGCAGGGTCTCCAGAACCGCATCTGGAGGCCCTTAACAGTGCAAGGCAGCGATGGGCAACCTGGGCAGAACTATCCCCTCTGAGACTATGCTGAGCATGGAACTGCAGTCTTGAGTTTGCTAGCCTGTGGAGAAGCCATTAACCAAGGCAATGAAAGGAAAGTGTTTTGGGGAACCTAGAAGCAATGTGGGGCACTGGTTCACACCACACTGACAGCCCAGTCCAAAAACCAGTGGATTATATCCTCTCTGACTCAGAGAGCTCACTCATAGCTCTGCGTTACAGGAAAGTAATTTCACATGGGAGAAATAGGGAAGAGGAAGGTCCCTCGCAGCCAACTGACATTCCTGACCTCTTTCTGGGCTGTATTCCAGGACACCAGGGAAGCCTGCACCTGCATTGCCCTGCCCAAAGTGAGCACAAGTAATGTTCTTATGAGACAGAAATGACAGGCTGACAACACTGGTGGTTAAAAACCCTGACAAAACTATTAATTTGCTAATAATAAAAGAAATAAGCAATTAAGAATAAGAAAATTACTTCAGGAAACAAACTACACACCACTTTCAGGGCAGCCACTTTTCAAATGCCATCTTGGCCTGTGAGCAAGAAGCTGTTAGAGTTGACTTTTATAACTAATGACTCTAAAACAAATTAATTTAGTATGGAGTGAATGTGTCCTGTAACTTTGCAAGTCAAGGTAGCACTCGAGGATTCTGAAGCAATGCCAAAGACATCAAAATGCGATTAGTGCAGGCAAGTCACTAATTTCTCCTCCCACTTCAAAAAACCACAAAAACCCCAAACAAAACAAACCAAAAACAACTCCCCAAAAAAATCCAACCAAACAACAAGATAGAACCACGAGATAGAACCCAGCTTTGCCCTGTGCTGTTGGAGCAGGGTGAGCCACCTATTTAGAAAGCAACTCCTAGTAGCCTCTTCGGCATTAAATACCAGGGAAAAGTTCACAAGAGCATAGCAGAAGAGATTAATAGTGTTTTTAAAAAGAAACAAAGGACTGATACTTTACTGCTCAATTTCCTCAGAAGGAATTAGAAAAATATTTGATACAATCTTCCAGCTGAAAGGGCCCCTTACAAAGATGGCTACAGGCCAAACCATGGTCTGAGAGATCATACATGTACTTCAAAAAGAGGTGGAAAAACAAGGAAGATTAAAAAAAGAAAGAAACCATAACTCAGGCATTTAGAAGAACATTAGTAATCAGCTCACCATCACATCCCTATTGGCTGAGGAACTAGTGCTTGGCTAGAAGCTTGTCTGGTTCCTAGCTAGAGTTAAGATACCATGAAAACAAGTCCAAGCCAATGGAAAAGGTCAAAGGATAAAAATAAATGCAGCTTAAAAGCTCTGCAGCACCACAATTACACAAAAATTAGTCAGTAGTGAAAGTATTACAATGGAGTGCAGGAACCAGTGTGACTTAGAAGCATAAACCTGACCTAAATAGTGAATGAATAAATGGCTTTTAAAATTTTTATCTCAGATCTCCATAGGGTAAATATTGAGAATTACATCTGTGGTTTCAGCTCTTGCAATCACTGCAAAACCAGGGCAAGACAAACAGGCTGGACTACCTGTTCAGCATCAGAAAAAACAGCTAAGATCCATAAACATCATTCAACCTGCTAAATCTGTACTTTGAGATACCAAAGACTTCAAATTTTCTATACTGTTGTGATGTATTTATGACCACAACAAACCTAGAATCAGATACAGCCTAAGACTTAGATCATATAAGCTTCCATTTAGTTGCCATCCAATGTCTGTAGGCATCTACACTTCAAATAACTACCCAAACATCATCCCGTGTGTTATGGGTGACATAACTTAGTCATAACAGGGTCAGAAGTTCACACCTCATCTCTCTACCTCACAGAGCTGACAAAAAAGGGGTTGAACCCAAGCAGTTTTACTTGAGGTAACTGTAGTTGCAAGAGAGCTTAATTCACAGGTACCTTTAGGGCAGAGCCATTGGATCAGTCACCCCCACAAAACACAGTGATGAAGAACAGGTGAGTGATGATGTTTTGTAGGCTAGCTCTGTAGTTCCTTCTCACAGAACTGCTCATGTAAACATTCACAAGGATGTTAAACACTCATTAGGACAGCAATTACCCCTCCCTGGTAAGTGCACTGGTGCCAGGTCACCCCATAGCTGCCTACATCCTGACAGCGAAGGTACTTTCCCACCATGAGGGAAACAGGAGTTTAAGAGTGCTTCACACAGGAATTAAGACAAAATTAGATTTTCATGTTTGCCAGCTGGCATTGTGTGAGGAAGCTGCATCTCCCAGCATGTAGATCTTACTGAAACTAATCTGGGCCTAAGGTTATTTCTGTTTAGTGGCAGAACAGGTACTCTTATCTTGGATATTCAATTGAATAATCACTGTGTTTAACCATTACAAGAATGGTTTTGACAGACTATTGTTGAAACCTATTGAACTGTTTTTAAACTTGCAGGCAAGGAAGTCTTATGCAGAGGAAAAAAACGCAAACATTAAATACAACAATTATTCTGAATTCATCCAAAGAAATACACAATGCAAGTATCTGCAAGATTCCTACTCACCTCTCCAAAGTCTGAAGTGCTTTCTTGTTTAATTCATCTCGAGTGCCCTTCAGAATAGCTGCAGAACAAGATACAATGCCATTTAAGAGCTGAATTCAATGTTTCACATTACCTAAATAAATACATAAAGTATTTCAAAATGGGATCATAAAAACTGTGGAAATCTGGTGGGGGGTGTGTGCATGAGTTCATTTTAAAATGAATTCTAAAATTCATTTTTATTAGATTCTTTTAACTCCCTTGTTTGAAGTGCTGAAGCATTTCTTTATTCACATATGCCACTGAAGGGGGCTGGGAGGAGAACAGACCGAGATACCAAGGGTTTAACAGGCCTTCTACCAGGCTGGTGTAAATGCTAAAAGCAGTAACCTGCAGCATATTCTGACTCAGATGCAGACTGCCTCCACCACCATCTTCATGTAGGAGGGTGCTGCAGGTTGAACAGGGAAAACCAGGAGCCAAACTTACAGCTCTATGACAAAACCCTTGACAACACACCACCTTCCTTGAGACCACAAGAGACTTTTAGGCTACTTCAGGTGTGACATTAGCCACTAATTCCCTCCTGTGCGCCTCTAATTGCTTGAATAATAGAACCTGCCCACTATGCTCACTTCTCACCATATAAATTAATTCCTAGCCAAAACCATAAAAGGAAGAGAAGCGTCAAGCTCTTGTTATACCAGGGTACCATTGTCAAGATCAACAGGAAGAGAGGACGAGCTTAGGGAAGTATCACTTTCTCAGATCCAAAATATCTGGAAACATAGTGATAGTTTTCAGAAACGCAGTGGCTGTGATGTTCTGGTTCTTAAGTTTTCAGATTTTGCATAGCAGTTGCTTCTTGTTCTGCCTATGCTGAATTTGAGAATGACTGATCAACAGCACAAAGAAGTGATAAGTAGTTAATCCATCAGCAAACATCTACCTATGAATATATTTGATTTCATACATGAACTCAATGTATGCTCCAAACCAGAAAGCTACTAAGTAGTATATACTTAAGCAACAAAAAAAGATAAAATTCAAGCATTCTTGAAAGTTATTGGGAAGAAAGAGTTGTGTTCTTCTACAAGACCTACAGAGGTATCAGTTTCTTGGGATTCTACAACACGTAAGCAAGTGAAACTTTGAAAGTAACTTATTTTGCTGAAATAGTTACAGTGATCAGACCATTTTATTCCTACATCTTCCAACAGTTTTTCAAAATACCAGGTTCATTTGGAAGCAACAGTAATCTTCAGGACTTCCCAAATGATAAGGCTTATAATTTAGGCCACAAAACCTACTCGAAGTATTAAAAACTGATCAAAAATTTGCATTTTAAAGAATAAATTTGAAGACATGGACTTTCATGTAAAATGCAGCATTTATTAAAAATACTTCACTCGCAGTAGCCTTAAATCAGGCCACTACAGAATACTGGAAAAAGGTAGCAGAGAAGAAAATGTAGAAAAAACCTTAAAAGAATGAAGATTGATGTAAATAGAAGTGCTTGAGAAGACATCAGAAAGGATTTGATCACACATATAAAAATCCATACAGAAAAAAATATGTCAGATTCTGTTTCTCATGGAAACTACAAGATTCCTTATTTAAGTTACAGAGCAATTCTGCAGATGCCACACAGTAAGGAAGACTGAAAGAAATGTTACTATTTGCCCCTCATGGAAAAGCGAGAACTTCTAGCGTTTAACTGGTAAGACATTTGACTAATGTTCAGCTTGTAGTCAGAAAGAACACAAAATATGTTATGGAAATGAAGTGATTACTCCACAGCTAGTCAGCTTTGCCTCTGCACTACTGGGAAATAGCATGTGACTCCCACCTCCTACAATATGGACTGCATCTTCAGCTACCACTGAGTTGAAAATCTGGCTGTCCTTCTTTGGATCTGTGTCTAACTTGGATGAACACACTGAAATTTGTGTTTGACAATACTGAGCAGTGATGCTGCAAGTTAACTGTGCCATTTACAGGGCCTTTACAGCTAAAGGAGATAAATAAGGTTTGTTGCTGGCATTGGCCCATTGGGAACAGATCTACAGAAAATGGACATTCACTACAAACCAGAGGTTTATGCTTCCAAGAGTGAGACAAAAGTGTCAATGACTTCCTCTGAGGACACATCTTTCTGCTACTTCAATGTAACTTTTTTCAAGAAACCTGTACTTAGGCATTAAGAACAGGGAAGCATTTTGCAGGTCACAAAGAAAAGGCCTTAATACAACTCCTCAGTGCCTTTGTCACATAGGATGGAGAAGTAACTACTGAAAGGATATATTAAATAAGAAAGTCTAAGCTTGGATGAAAGGTATCCTGATATACTGCTGCAAGCTTTAGAAGGCAATTGGTCAAATGTCTCTGAAACACTTAGCTACCACTGAAAAGGTTGATTCACTGGAAGTCAACTCCAGTGGAAAGTTAATAGAAATCATATATATATACATACAGACATTTGACTGTGCCTGCATATGTCACTATGAACTAGTATAAACACAATGATAAAAAAGATTGACAATACGAGGCAAGATTACATATGGGAGGTGAGCTGTTGTCTTCCTTTCAGTATGTTCTAGCCTTGCTTCCTCACTGTCACATGCTATTTTTTTAACGATGCTAATGAAAAATGTCTTCCTAGTGCAAATTTGACATTTTCTAGTAAAACACAGTTCCATATTCATGAGCATCACATGTATGCTTTTGAAGGACCTAATCCATTTTATTAAAATATAATCTGAAAGATGGAAATACACTCTTCCTCTTTCCCTCAAATAACTGAGTGACTGGTCCTGTTGACTTGAAGGTTAGAGATATGAGGAGAAGATAGATATTCCACTGTTTCACAACATAAAGCAGATGCTAATCTGGAAAAGAATCCAAGGCAGTTGTGGTGAAGACTGTTTCTTTTACGTTAAAATGGATACAATACTAAACTAATCTCTTGAATACTCAGACTACCAGAAGATGAGTTTCCAACTCACATTTTGCCGCACCAAAGTATTTTTAAAGCCAGAGTACAGCACATGCCTCTACAATTCTGTTCTTTAGAAACCACCTTCTTTCCATACTGAGGATAACAAATAGATCATAAGGGACTAACATAGAAAACCTCCTATCTCTGAAAATAGTAATTGGAATCTTGTATAGCTTTAGGAACAGTTTAAACAAAATCTAGAAAAAATACTCTGAAATAATAGGCTGTTAAGCATAACTCTATTTCTAATTAACTTAAAAAATATGTAAGAGAAAGTACAAGCTAGGAAGGATGCATTTTTTGACATGAACTTTCTAAGGGGAACTATTTTGAGGCAGAGAAAAGGGGAACTGGAGAGAGCTACAGTGCCTGTTATCCTCCAGGATGAAAATCAGTTCTCAGAACAGCTGATCAGATATGGCTGCCTGAAAAACTACACCAACTTGCACTACTGAAGAGCACAACTCACTTTATCATGCACATGCCTTGGAGAATTCTGGTGTAACTTGCAAGGCCAGCATACTTCCTTGATGCCTTAATACAGTCATTTTAGCTTTGTTTCAGGCTTCTTTGCTGGAAGAAGTTGGTTTGTTTCTATGGAACCCATTTGATAGAAAAGCCATTGTTTGCATGAGGGCAGGACTGCCAAACTGATTAGGAAACACAGTAGCCCAGCCATTATTCAAAGAAACTACATTATAAGGCCTTCTACGTATGTTAGAAGTCATAGAATAAACAAAGACTGTTCCCACCTGTGAGCTTGATGAAGGTCAGAGCTAGAACTCTCCTAAACACTGAGCCTTCTGGCTACCAAGCACCAAATCTGCAGGAGCCCGTTGTCCAGTAATTCAAGACCCAAGCAAGCAGCATTAAAATAAAATACTTCTTACATTCAGTGGTCTGCTTCTAGTCAACATCCACACTTACCACTGAGGTAGATATTTTTATCTTGTTTACTTCTAAGTAGAGAAAGAAACCACATCACAGAGAGGCTGAATCTCTGTGGGGAATCAGTATCATGCCAGGAACTGAAGTCAGGCATCTCTGACTTCAGTTCTTAGATCGTATTTCTTCGTGATTTATGAGTGGGTGACAAAAATATGAAAATAGATGGAAAGTTTGACTTTTTGTCGTGTAAATAAGTGAAAGAAATGTATTACAAATATTCAAGTAAAGCACACCAAGCACTGTCAGCTACACTAAGATTAGCATTACCTAAGTAATGATGTGCATTTCTTCCTTTAACTAAAAACTTCACTTTTATTACCACAGAAGAGCAAGTGAACAGTCTCCACTTGTCTTGCAATCTGATTGTTTTTCATGTCTAGTCAGCACTGAAAGCAGATTTTCTAACAGATTTCCATTGCTTGCACTGAAGACTTTGAACAAATGCTCTCCATACAGCACACTTGACAAACAGGGTAACTCACCATCAGTAGCTTGAAGACTGTATGTCAAGCCCAGTGCCAGGTAACCTTTTGCTAGAGACTCTCCAGCATCCTCACCCAGGTCTATCACCATTTTAGCAAAGTGTTCTCCTTCTTCCAGCTGAAAAAGAGGTAGGTTGAGATTTACAGGCATTTCCTTTATACTTGCTGCAATAAGATTATACCACTAAACTTACCTGAAAGTGACCTGAGAGCCATTCACACAAGGGCTTTCAGTGATCTCAGTGAACAGTCACCAAAAGGAGGACGTAGAAGGTCAGAGAGACAGACCTTGGTGCACTTGCACAGTTTTGAGAAGGTTTTGGTTTTACACCCCAAACTACTTCCAGATGTTTAAGATTAATCAAGGACACTATGTTACTTTTACAGTTCCCTTCAGACACATTTCAATAATGCAACCTTAAAAATGCTGGACTATCCTAGCAGTACACTGAAAAGTCTAATGGGTCTTTTCCTTCAAAGGAAACACCATCCAATTTTGGATTTACAATTTTTTTAAACCTTAGAAAATTTTACTTCCTTTTAAAATGCTACTGGAGTAAAACAAGAAAGCACTAATTTCAGCACATTCTCCTCCCCACAACTTTCCTTTCCAGCTGACCACACAGATCTATTAGCATCTGTAAAGTCTGAGTTAATGGTAATTTTAAACAAAAAGAATAAATTGACTATTTTATCACAGAACAGCGTTTCTCATTTCTAACTTTAGACTCTAACATCACTTGTTAAAAGAAGAAAGAACTAAGACCTGTAGACTGTACATACCTAGAAAGCTGTAGGTTGGAGGGGTATAGGAAAAGCTGTAAGTAATACTTGAAAGACAGAGATTACAGGAAGACCTCCTTTCTGTACAAGACAGTATGCAGATCCTGTCAACCATAATCAGAGTCATCCCTAATCAAGAAGCAAACATCATTGCACTATCTGAAAAATCCTCCTTTTGGAAACTTATTACATGACAACTGACTTTAAGGAACAGGGTTGTTTAATTTTGAGAGAGTACTTTTTTGTTTGAAAGCCATCTGGTTTAGGCACAAGTACTGCGGACACGTGCCCTCTTAATACTCAGCTTCATCAGACTCCAGTACCTAATGGCTTCTTAACATCTAAAATGACTCACCCATAACAAACTGGAATCAAAATGAACCAGCAGACCAGAAATTTCCCTTCCACAGAGATCTGTTAATATGCTACCTATGAACAGAATCTACTTGACATAATATCCTGGCAATGGGCCTCCTAGTCACATCACTTGAAGACATTCAGGTGACAACATTAGCTAACGGCTTCATAAACAATTTATTATTGGGATTTATGAGACGGTATCAAACAACTCCCTGAGGCCATACAATTCAAACTAGACGTAGATCAATAGCCCCCAAATTTCTGAAATCTCAGGTAAGTCAGTCCAATGACCAATGTATATATGATAATCAAATTCTTTCCTGAAAGCACTTTGAAATCATTACAGTCTTGCTCGTTGCTCATTGCCCAGTCAACTACTAATCTGGAAAGTACGAACTGAAATTCCTTTGGGGAATACTTGGGCTACCAACTAAACTGCTAGGACTGTCTTTGAGTCCAAAGCCTACCCAAACCACCAGGAACAGTCCTACTGACTTCAGGGATGCTCAGATGAGACCCTTTAAACTCTGATCACATGAGGAAGACAGAGATTCATTTCAGGAGATTTCTTAATACTGTCAGTAGCCCTACTGACTTCCCTCCCACAAACTGAAGTGTGCTCTGGACCAGAGCCTAGGACAATAAAAGAAGAAAATGTCCCATGACTTGCCACACAGAAAAAAAAGAACCCAGAACCAAAACCTACAAATCAATAAAAAACTCCTCCTATGAAAAAAATAACTGAATTCTTCAGTTCTCAGGAACTTTTATGTAAGACATGAATTCTCTGCAGCCCAAAAATTCATTATGCACCTCTTTGCCACCATAAACAGCTATATTCCCACTCTCTGTCTTCATTGTTTCTCCTCTTCTCCTCACACACACTTTCATTCAAGAAGTCTCCATTAAATGAAGAAAAGAGCTATACAAAGAATTCTAATGACTAGTGAACAAGGGTAGGGGTGGGTAGAGTGCGTGAAGACAAAGATTAAATGACACGTTTGGAGGCGAAATGGAGACATTTAAAACTGGAGAGATTTTGCTCCATTGTTTCTCTGAATGGTCACCTGATGGTATTTCCAACCTCTGACTGATGGCCTATGCTGCATAAATCAGCAGTACACCATTCAGCCTTGCCTGCCAGTTATCCAGGGCCACCTCTCAGTGTCAGATTAATCTAATGTTTGAATAATTAAAACCACAACTTTTCAGAATAGCTGAAACAGCACTTCCAGCACATTCTTGTAAACATTTATTCATATTAAACACTAATGGTACTTTGACTAGTCACAAAGATTCTTATGAATGCAAACTTAGGTCAGCTGAAATCTGATTTGAAAATAAGTGGCCTTGCAAACTCCAGCACAGCTGGTTCTGTTTATGAGAACATTTACTTTTCTTTCTTACAGCACTGAGACACTTACCCCGCCAGCCCTGCTGTGGTAGCCATCTGCCCCTTCTTCTCCCATTCTCCTACTCTTCAATCATTCTGGGCAAGTGTGAAAAGCCAAACCTTTCACTCACATCACCCACTGTGAGGTTTCAACTCTCCAGTGCATCAGTCTTGCTGATTGCCTAGTCAACCGTGAATCTGGAAATTACTGTCTCAAATGGGAATAACCCCCTTGGGACATACTTGGAGCTACCAACTAAACTGCAAGGAATACCAGATTGCAGTCTGGATGAAAACTCCCTCTCCATACACCTGAATGAGAGACCAGCAGTGAGCCTGAGCTGTGATGTCCCAGTAAAGCTGTGTCTGTGGGGGTCCTTAAAGATATGAGATGTCACCAATCTGTACTGTAGTGATGAGAAAGGGAGGGGGAAGCCATCAAATGAGGCATCAACCCCTTTGGTGACCCACCAACAGAACCATTCTCCTGCATATTGCCACATGACCTGAAGCAGCAGGAGCTACTCTCTCTTTCTCTTCTCCCCATGTGGTGCCAGGTATGAAAAATCTCACCCTGTGGGACTCACAGAAGTTGTGAGCTCAGGGTACACAGAAGTGAGCTGAGTGGCAGAAGGCTTATCAGGAGAATCAAAAAGCTTATCAGGAGAATCAGAAGAATCCATTCCTACTCCTCCTGCTGCACAGCCAGGAGCCAGCCTCAGTATGAAGGGAACCTAAGTGATTCATTCACTTCAGAAGAGGACTCCAATGTTAAGGTGATGTAATACTGCATTGGAAGAGCAAGAAAAATCATCAAACTTCTGTTGCAACCTGTAGGCGCTTGCCAGTAAGCTCCTCCCCAGCAGGCATGGCACAGCATCACTTTGTGATTAGGAAATGCACAGTGAACTGCTGCTACCTGGTTGCTAGCAGCTCCCAACACCACAAAAAAGATACGTTTTGGGGTCAGTAACAACTAGAATTCATTTTCCTTAGTGTCACTACTTTTTATTCTCTCAGAAGTAAGCAAGAAACACAGTCTCAAAGACATACAGGTATACCTCCAATTTGGCCCTTACTGTTCTTAGAATCATCTGCATATCTGGCACTGAAAAGCTGATGGAGAGCAGGGTAGCATCCAAGGCTGCAGGGAGAAGTTCCCTGCCTCCAAGACCTGCATAGAAGAAAGTTCAGAAAGCAGGCACGGAGGAAAAACAACCTAAGAGGAACTTTTTGCACTTTAACTCAAGCTGTGTAAACTGTCAGGAGGCACCTGGAAACACTAGCTAAGCAACCTCTCCATCACACCAGAAACAAGCAGACACCTGGCACGTGGAGAGAGACAGACTGCTAAACTGAACTCACACCAGTGAGATGGTAATACTGTGAGGCTGGTTGGTTTTTTTTCCCCTTCCACTCCCTCCATCATGTTTGATAGAAAAAGAACAGTTGTTAGCTGTCTTACCCTGAGGGATGTTTCCCCTGGTACAGAGTGTGGCTGTTCCAGCCACCCTTGTTACTTGACTGTGGTTTCTGGTGTGTGCTCCAGCCAAGCCCAGGGGCACACTGACAAGGGAGAGGAGAACAGCAGGTGCTGTCCCTTGGCCTAGTGCCACCCAGCTGGTTTCCAACTGCCACCCAGCTTGTTTTCAGAAAAGCTCAAGCCCTACCCCACTGAATCAACACCCTCCAGGACTAAGTGGAAGCTGCAGTTCTCACCAGCACACATTTAGAATAACTGAAGACAAAACAAATTGATGATGTAAAGCAGAATAAAAATGGCACCGTCCTGTGCCAAAAAAAGAGGAGCACACAAGGGAAGAGGCAGGAAATACATCAAATGACACTGGACTTAGGACAGCAGACAAGGTTAGTGAAGCAGGTGAGTTTGGACACCAGTGACACTGAACAATACCCAAGCACTTAAGTGACCCAAATCCAACGAAAAGGGTATCTATGCAAAATTACACATGATATTACCTCGCTGAATTGACCTCTTCTTTTAATTTTCATGACACTGGGTTGTAGGTATAGAGACTAATTCAAAGACAAGAAAGTAAATATTGTGAAAAGAGAATGTTAAGTAGAAAAATTATAGGAAGAAACTGGTCAATAAGGCATAGTCTAATGAAAAGGTTTTGTCCCACAGTTGTTTAGCTAATGACAGAGCTAATGACATGTTACCTGCGTCAGAAAAAAAAATCCTGTGCTTTGTATAGTTGGTCCAGTCGGTATTTTCTCTTCATGTCACCATGTGCCCACCAACTTACTCTGTGTCTAAGCTCAGCCCCCAGCACTTAAGAGTACTCAGGCCTTTCCTCCACTGTAGTGGGACTGGTTTGTTCATAAAGGAGATGTATGGAAGGCAACATTCTTGGTCATTTTTAATGTTAAAAACCCATGAGATTGCCCCACTAACAGTAGTGGTGATGTATGCAAGAATGTCTTTTAAAAGACGGAAGAAATGTCTAGTTGCTCCTTGTCATTCATTGCTTTCTTAGTAGCCTCTCACTCTAGGGATGTCAATCCTCCAGAATGTCCACTCAGCAGGCAGAATAAATCTGGGAACACGACTAGATTTTATTTTTCAATACTATTCATACTGCAATAAGACCTAAGCATTTCCAGGCAACTCCAGGGCTCCTAAGTGACTGGGTACAAGCACATGCACAGCACTTATTACCTACAGTGGCAGGGTCAACAACAGACAGAAGGAGAGAGAAGCACTCTCTGATTAAGTGGTCTGTGAAACTAATGAATGATAAGCTATTGCCTCAGAAGTATGCAGCTCTAAATCTACATCCTGCCAGCTTCCCCGACACACACACACCCCATGACGTCCTACTCAGTATGTCCTACTCAGTTTTTACGACTCCATGCATGGTCTGCCCTGGCCCAACACCACTTCTCGTTTTTCCTGACTGATGGCATGATCTCTGTCTTCCCAGCAACGTGCTGGAGCAGAGCACTTCACTGTGCATATCAGTTGAAAGGAATGAGGGAAATGTCTCAGGCACAGCACCATCTTGCGCTGCAGCTTTTGCCATGGGAGGAAGTCCCTCCGTAAGTTCATACTAGCTGATAATACTGGCATCAGTCAGTGCTATACAACTTCAACACAACACCACTATTGCTATTGTATCCACTGTGGGGCAATGACAATAGAAAGAACACCCCTCATGTCATCCTGGTTTCCGTCAGAGCAGAGTTCCAGAAGATTCAAGCACTGCAGTCCATTTCGCTCTGTGTGTATTTACAAAGTTTTCAACGTGTCTCCATTGAAATCAACAGAATAAAAGGCACAAGAAACCATCCTAGTAATCCTAAATGCTTTAAATAAGGTTCCTAAAATGGAGAAATCCAATATCTAACGCTTGCCTGTAGGCAGAAGTTCCTTTTTTAGTATTTTCACAACACCTGCCATAACAGGATCCTGGAGAACCTAGATTAGTAGTGAAATTAACAGTACTGTACTATTAAAATATTAAAAACAACAACTCATGCTGTAACTCAAAGTCACTGCCAAAATAGGCAAGTGAGCATTCAGCTGAGGCCGTGCCAGGGAAGGCTGAGTGAAAGAGGAAATTGCAGCAAGCCATTTAGTAAGCGTAACTCTGAATTTATAGTGGGACAAGGCAGGACAACCTCAGTATGGACATATTCCAATGCGAGCTACTTCAACTTTTTTCCTATGAAAATTTAAAACAATATTCTGAACTACAATAGACAAAGACCTCATAGTGCATTCCGGAAAGCTAAAAGACAGCTGGCTAAACACAAATGGGCTTTGTGTTCACATGACAGAAATCATCCACATGAAAATTCAGCAAACTGAATGCTGAAACCACAGCAAACTGGAAGGCTCAGCAGCATGATGCCTCAAAAGTAATTCTGAGCCCTCTACAAACACATTTGTAACACCTGTGTAATGGGCTAGATACAGTACACAAAAATTCCAATGTTGCTAAAAACTTTTGTATTTATATATTAGGTACAGGTCTGACTGCATCCTGATCATAAAAATGTGGTTTATATAGGTACACCAGTTTTGGAGCTTTTCTGGTCCTCCAAGACTACTGGCTTAAGCTTTACAATTAATCAAATATTGATTTATTGTTTACACCTTTTTTTTATTTTTTAAAAGATTTTGAAACCCTGAAATTCTGTAACCAAAACATTGCTTATACCACTCAGTTGTTTACTGCAGGCCACATCCTAAAAGCTAGTGGCTGATGGGGTGGATCATCTCCTGATGTAAGCCAGCATGGTGCCACTAATATGCCAGTGGAGTAGTGCCAACTTACATCAGCTAATAATCTGGTCATACTGTCACAACAGAAGCTGGGGGTGGTTCAGTTCTTTTCCGCATCAGGCTCTGTTATATATTGATTTGCATGGCACTGTATGAATGTATGCATGTTTTCACTTTGATTTGTTCTCCATTGAGAGATTATTTCATAGATGTGATCTGAGCATCCTCAGTGTTGTAAATCACTACAGTACATTTCAATTAATTTTTTCCCCTGGTTTTTAAAGTGTGCTGAGGCACCATGTACAAAGCCAACAAAACGAGTTAAGTGATCACTAGATTAATCATGAAAGAAACTGTTCTGTGCTTCTCCTGACATTCTGTAATTATCCAGCTGCATAAATGTTGTGTTTTGGGGTTTTCTTTATTGCTAGTAACTGAAAAAAGACTAAAGCACTGTTTGCCCATGGGCTATAAGCAAACTGGATATAATACTGCACCAAAAGCATATAGTAGACAGATGCAGGACATAAATCAGCTGTTTAATTTGGATAAATGGTGATCTGATTTCACCCTTTTCCTGCCTAGCCAGCAATCAAATACATAGATATATTTCCTAATTGAGAAATTAATTGAATTTTATATGTTCTGAAAAGCAAGATGTATTTGAGTACTTGCAACTGTTAATATTTGTCCATTAGACTGTTCCCATGCCATGTCTATCCTCCTTTCTATTTATACTGGCATTGATCAACTTGTTCACTTCCAGTTTAAATTATTCAATTCTGATTTGATTGCCATGTAATTTAAATGCAAATAATTACTGTAAGGATGACATTTAGAAAAACATCTCTGCTAAGCAGGAAGGTCTTTATTAGTCACAGGAGTCTGCCAGTAATATCAGAAGCATCCCTTTGACTGTGAGATGTGGGAACCTATCATTTCAGTTCTTTTAAAAGATGTTCTGATTTCCATTTGACTCCTCTTAATTAAAACTCTTCTATTCCATCATCAAGTTTCATATGAGGGTAGATCATAGGCCACTGACTGAAAGGAAGAGGAGAGAGGAATATTTTTAATTTGGTTTTAGTTCAAAGGTTGTGCTCTAGATAACTGCAGTAAAATTACCCTCTTGTGAAAACATGTTTTCATTTCATACTGCACTCCAGTTCTAAGCCACGGTCTGATTAAGTAACACTGAAAAAGCAGTAGATAAAAGAAAAAACCCTCTTGCTTTGCAATAATGAAAACCAGTTCATTTTTCCCTTCTTCCCTTCCCTTTCCTATTTTTTAGGATTAACCTTTTGCTTTACCAGCTCTGCCATATGAGAAGTCTGAAGACACTGGATTGCCCAAGGACAGAGCTGGAACCAAATTACAGCCTCACTGTCTTTTCTAAGTGTCTCTATAACAAGGTATTTTTCATATGCTAGCTGTGCTTTGAAAACTTCATTAGAAACACTAGTAAGACTGTTCAACACAGTTGTAATGCCTGGCTTTCACATTGTTTTACATGTATAAAAACAGAAAAAAAACTTATTTGCTTCATTTTAAGAAATAACATTCATTGTGAATGTTATATCACTGAATAACTTTCAGCCCTGAAAGTTTAGGTACTGAGCTATGTGTACAAGAGAGCTAAATTGCTTGTATGTAGAACAAAGGTAGGTTGAGTAGTTCAGGAAGGATTCCCTGAAGGCCCTCAGACCTGGAAGATTTTTCCTAGAACAAGATGTTGCCCAGTTCTTGCTGACTCACATATAAGTTTAACCATTACAGTTCCTTCAAAAACATTCATAACCAGATGTGCTTCCTGATGGTGGTGACAACTGACAGAACTCAAGTTTAGCTGAACACCAGCTTGCATCATATAAGGATGTAGAGGATGGGGAGGCAGGAGTAAAGAGGACATAACAACAGCAAATGTGAAAGAACTTTTCACCAAAATCTGGCCAGATTCTTTTGGTATTTTCTTTCATATTTTCTTAAATCTTTGTTTTACTTCTATTAGCAACTGTAATCCTTCACTGACTGCAGGGACACCTCGTGGTGAGGACAGGTGAGAACAGCAGGCTGCTATTCAGTTAATTAAACCAAGTAGCAAAAGAGTGACAGATGTTTCTCTTCCTTTGGATAATCACGGGCACCAACTTCCACTCCCATTCTTCTTCTGGGGCATACATTAACACATCCAGAAAACACTGACACAGCAACTTCAAGAACACAGGACCAAGTTGTCCAGCAGACTCAAACTGTCTAGTAGTCCAGTTATAACTATTAACTTTTTTCTTCCAGGGGCTACGAGAGTGGCCAATTCAACACAACTCTCAGTTGAAAAAGCAGTCCTCAGCATGGCAGTTATGGCTTTCCATCCTCCTCCTTTTTTTAATATGCCAGTAAAACACGTTTCAATGACTCACTGCAAAATTTCTTGCTGGGATTTACACTTCTTTAAAAAGGTACCCATGTGCATGATTCTTAGCAGGGATTCTCTTTCTCCCCACTGCAACTACACTGTGGCACTGCCACTGCAGAACCTGATCTATTACATAAGAACTGCATCAGCTTGCTTACCCAGTGCAGTGACCCAATGCAGACCTTGGCAGCCAGAAGAGGAACGGTGGGATCCATAGGTCGCAGTTTAGCACACTCTTTGAGCACCGACACAGCATATGCCGACTGGAAGAGGAGTAGGAGAAAGAGGAGGAAACAAAAAAGGCTGATCAGACAATGCTGTTACAGAGTCCAAGCAAGATATTTCAATGACATGTTCAAAGAAGTACTGTGGAGAAAAGAATCACATCAGCAACAAGTTAACAACTTTATTCCCAACTCCACACACAGACACATGCATGTGCACATGTGCATACAAACACATGCCCTTCCCATGTTGAGAGGAAACACACCAAAGAACCAGCCCTGGCTGTGCACAAGAAAGTTTTCCTTAGCTGTTAATGCACTGTTCATTTTAACTCTGCCCTCTCGATATACAAGAATTCTGCTATAGTTTTCCTTGCACACAACCATGTCCCCATAAGAAAGATCATAAAGATCATAAAGAACTTATCCTCCAGTACATTAACATTTTAGGCCAACTTTACTCAGAGAGGTTTGTGCAACTAAAGTAATCTGCCTGGTAAGTTGTTTTGTGTCTTCTACAATTCCAGGACATACAAGAATACAAGGACCCCACCATACAAAGGGTGGAGCAAGCAACTGCAGATGATTACACTGTTCAGTGGGTGGTCCAAGCATGTCTTAGAAAGAAAGCCCATAAAACTTGCTGTCTGCCTAGTGTTAGGTTACCATTAATGAGGACGCTTATTAAGACTGGCAGTTACATAAGCCCTTTTGATTCAATGTGCGCTGCAAACATTGCTTTTTACAGCACATACTCATGGCTGCCACATTTCAGATGGTTTAAAGGAGAATGAGGAAAGCTCTGGTCTGAGATGGTGGTACAAAGACCTGGTCAGCTGATGAGGAGGCAAAAGAAGTTGCCTTATCAGTGTCTCCCAGCCCATTCCACCTGAACCACAGCTTCTATCATGTTTAAACCTTCCTCGCTATTGACCCCTGCTCCACTCAAATTTTCTTATCCTTGATAAAGAAGTAGTTTTATTATTTTGGAATTTCTCCTTGCATGCCCCTTTCCTTCCAAACTTCCACATGGTCCCAAGACACATGCTGGCCTCTCTGACTCAGTGTTCCTCCTCAGAAGCACATTAAATAGTCATGGCCTTTCCACAATACAGGAGAGCGGCAACAGAAGCTTGTAAAGTCAAAATAGCAGCTATTCCTGTCAGGTCCCCGGCATCTCCTCCTGGCCCCCACAGGCTGTCCCTATCAGAACTCTGACCAGCACAGGCATCCAGGTCTCGTGTTTGCTGCAATTCCCTGCATGGCAGCTTCATGTTCCCACCAGACATCAGCACTTCCCTCCCTCCCACCACACCAAATCAGGCTGCACCTGCTGACTCCTTCAAAGAACTGAAGGTCCACCTCTTGCTACTGCATTTAAAAGCCTGTTTAGGAATTTGCTTGGAAGGGAGCCTGAGAAAATGGAAAACCAGATGTACACTAGAGACCTGAGCTCCCTAGTAGCAGAGAGCAAACCCTGCCGCTTGAAAAGCTCAGGTACCTGATGTGTTGTCTGAAGAAGAGCAATGGCACACCCTATGTTCTTCATCTTGTTTCCCCTTACCTAGAGCATCAGGTACAATCAATAAAAGTAAGGAAACAGTTGCCATTTTACAATTCAAAATGCACAATTTGCCTAAAGCCAGAAGGAAGCTTGTCTCAGAGCAAAGACACGAATCAATAAACTTTGTCCTGGAGCTTGAACCATTACCTCATCCCTCTCAGAAACAACGACATGGGTAATTTAACCCTGAGGTACAGGAAGGAACACATCACTGGGCTTTGCTGTCACGACGTGACTAGCATCCCTCAGAACAAACCTCTCTGACACCTATTTGTTCAGAACAAGTGGTATCTCAGGTTTTAATGGCATCTTACTCCTCTCTCTCACAGAATGCTACCTGCATTGCAAGCAGCTGGTATTCCCAGTAGCATACTGGATGTGTTGGAAATCCAAGCAAAACCCCACAAGGAACCTATTGGCACATCATCTTCTTGCTCTTCATATATTCCAACCTCACAGGTGCTTCCAGAAAAAAATAAATGTGCCAGTGGGACAACATGCACCATGACAGTCAGTATATCCACAACTGAACTCCATCCATCTTTTTCATCTCACCATGCAAAATTGAATTGAAAAGCCCAGAGATGTAAAAAACACTGTCCAGAGTCAAAGCTTGCAGAAACAAGACACAAACTGAACCAAGTGATGGTTTTTCAGCTCCCCATCAGCAGTATGACTGGAGGGAAAGCAGGAAGTACCTGGGAGCTGGTGACAGCTCTCCTGTGGGTCAGCACAACCAACACCAGCACAAACCAAAGCAGTGACAGGCCTGTCCTAATTTGGGCCACAGCTGTAGGACTTCCCCAGGCCTACATCAGACGAAAAGTGATTCAAGTCCCAAGTCCGCTCAGGAAGCAACTGCAAAACAGTGACTACTGAATGCTGCAAAACAGAACATGCCAGCTTGTGCCTACACCCAAACACATCACATGTGGAGTCACTTAACTATATGCACTCAGGAGCTTCTGAACATGGGTTTACAAGAGCGAGAGCTACAGTTTCCACACTGCTTCTTAAACATTTACAAAGTTATGTCACTTTAAAGAGGTTTATAAAATTTGCAACCAAACATATGGAGTAGAAGGGGTTTTAGAAACAGGGTGATACGAAGCCTTTCTCCCCAGTTGCATTTTAAAAATTCAAGAGCCATTATATAATTTCACCTTGAAAACTTTACTCAGCAGTATTTTATACAGATGATGAAAGTGTTAGTCAAGGAATGACAGGAGAAATAATATCTCACTCCCACAGTGACCTTACTTAGGGGAGACTGGCATGACATATAATATCAAGGTTTCTTAAAGATACTAATTACAGACATTAATATCCAGGGGAAAAATATCATCCACTCATTACTGAATACAGATGTCACTAGTTTGTAAAAATATTTAATAAGAAACAGTGTTTGTACAACATTGAAATAATCTGATAATTAAAATGTACATATTCTTTCACTTAGTGTGGGTGGACCAGGCAGCCAAGCGCATTGTTTGTGAGATTCACTGCAAGGCAATAATAATCAGATTTATTGGTGAGGCATGTTTGAGAAGAGCAGAAATTGAACTCCATTTCAGTGCATGCTTCTTACTCATAATTCTGAGCTTTAGAGGGGCTCACATCGTAATTCAAGCCAGGATTTAAGTTATTTCTGTTTAGCTTGATAATTGTTGAATTATAATGACTGCACTGGAACCAGTTCCCGAGGACTTCAGAAAACTAGGGATTTGCCTCTGGGTCTCATTTGGCCTCTCTCTGGGAAGAAGGCTTTAAAAGTTCCCTCAAACACACACAGACCCATTAAACAGACGTGGTTTAAAAGAATGGCAAACTTGCTGACAGTTGCCTCACAGGGGTTTCAAATTTGTTTGTGAGAAGTCTAATGTAGAAGTTCTCAGCCTTGGGACCCTCATCAGATTTACAAAGACTCATGACCATCCTCCCTTTGTTATGGTCAACAAAGCATGCAGTTCAAATCAGGTTATGGAGTGGAAACACTGCTCTAATGAGAATGTTCAGCCATCGAAGAAATTTCAAAAAGAGTAAGGGACTTAAGGATTTCAAACACCTGAGTTGGGCATCTCCATCCTTAATATAATAACAACTTTGGGGTTTTTGCAAAGGAGACAGAGATGAACATGGCACTACTGTTGCATATTTAAATCCAAGATTTGTACAAAGCCAGTTTTCTCTGTCATTTTTTCCCTCATCTAATCTACTTACATACCATATTTTTCTTCTGCAGAGATCCTCCAAAATAATTTCTGAGAAAAAATTAGGCAGTTTCTGGGAAGCAGAAAGCAATATGGATAAATGGTTGTTTTTGATATGGGCTTCTGAAAGAGCTGTATGTACCACATGCAATTTGGGGGCAAGGGCACTTCTTAATCTCCAGCAAGAAATCACACGGAAGCTCTGGGGAAGGAGAAGGCAGGAGAGGACACCTTCCCCTAAGTAATTACAGCAGCCATGGTTTTGAATCCTTTAAGGGAGTAACATTTAAAGAAAAACAACTATCTAAATACAGAACACAATTCTCATTCCCCATTTACTAATTCAATAATGAAGCCTGAAGGTATGCTCCTCAAATATTCTTGCACATGAGCAGAATAGAACAAAAAGCTCCTCAAATATTCTTGCACATGAGCAGAACAGAACAAAAAGCATCCTACAGGTAATTTTCTTTTTCCCTTTTCCAAGCTTGAGAGATCTTGCCATCAGTCATGATAAACTCATAGATACTGCCCAAATGCTGGTTTTCCTAGCTTACTCCAGCATAATTTGCTTTCCCCTCCTCTGCTCTCTCACTATACCAAAGCAACAAAAGAAGGATGTTAGAAATTTGTTTCATATTTAGAAGACAAAAAACCACAATAAGGAAAGAAAAATTCCCAGACAGTAAATCATGCCAGACAAACTTTGACACACTATAAACAACTGCTCTCCTCTTGCAAAGGTTTCAAAGACTTTTCTAGTTTTTTTGCTTCTTTGGTAACACTTCCTAGCCAGAGGGAAAAACTTCTCACCTCACAGTGGTGGTTTTGGTAAACAGCCTCATTCCCATTCACCTGGCAGTTTAGTACAGAGACGAATCTCCACAACCAGTACTGCTATATTTCTAGCATCATCCTGTCTGACTTTAAAAACTGCATTATTTCAAAGGGATTGTGGGGAAGGAGGGGAAATCTTTCATCACTATGCAAGAATTAATATTCCCTGTATCCTGGGATTCACAGACATTTAACTATAAATGACCTTGAACCAACACAGAAAGATGACAGTGAGCCAGCAACTGAGGACTCTAGAATTAGTTGTTTTGGTGTTAGCCTTCCACTGAATTCAGAGATTTCTGTGAATCACTCCGCATGAATATTATTCCCCTACGACATTTACTTCTCTTAACACAAGGACCAATTCTCTCCCTTTTCTTTTACCTCATATTTAGCAAATTAGAGCACTGGAGATAAGCAGCTTCCAC